GATCTTGCAGCCAAATGAATGCAGCGGCCTCAAAAACAAGAAAAAACAGGATCTCTGACTCATTTAGACACTCTGGCTTACTGACACAGAAACACATAAATGGAAAGCTAAACACTTAGTGTTTAGCAGTGTAGTTTGTGACATTTAGCCGGCCATGATATAAATAATTAGCATTGACTTTTACTTATTTTCTTAACATAATTCTTTGATGAACAATATATACTGTATATGTGCTGTCATGGAAGGATTGTATTCATTAATCATGGGCTGTCTTTGCAAAAATTTCTTGCAAAAATGTCAAAAAAAGCTACAACTTCAAAGATGTTTCTGTTGCTTGAGTATATTATGTTTCAAATGTTGCTTGGGTCTGGTTGTGAACCAGTTTTGCTGGTATACTTCTGTGGTCTAGAAGTTCTAGGGACACACAGCAGTTTCCAGCCAAAGTGCAAGGAGGAGCCTATTCGAGAATTCGTGAGAACTTCTGCGGATGACCAAACAGACAGCTGGAAAGGCTTACCAAGGAACAATCACAGCTACTTTTTGTCTGCACACCTCTGTTTGAGGTCTGCGCACGTTTACAACCGTCCGACGCATAGTCAGCATTTGACGGTTGCAGAGGCTATGCAACTGCATAAACTGGCCTTAACACTAAATAGTTGACCTTTGCAAATATCTCAAATCGGTAAGGACAGATAAGCCATGGCAGAAGTGCATCCACAGTCACCATAAGGGCTGTCCGAATAGTGCTGCAGGGCTCGATGTTGACCATTGCCCAATCGCCCGGGGCAAGTAGTTTTTATTGTCGGGAGAGTACACATTTTTTTGCATTTGCCCGCGGGCAAGTGCAATCATCGCAAAAAAAATTATTTATCACTCAAAATTAGTTTTAAATCACCGACATTCGCTTAAAAAAGGACCCACAAGACACACATTCTCGTGTGATTTGAAAAAGCCGTGAGATTTTCCGCCAGATGGCGTGATCTTTGTCTGGTATTGGTGCGAATCAGACAAATTTTTTTCGACTTGGCAGGCTAAAAAACAACAAGGCAAAAACATGTAAGTAGAGTAACACACCCACCACCCATTTTTCCCACCACCCAGATAACCCTAGATTAAAAATTATCGGCCAGGGATTAGGAAAATTGGCATAATTGTACGCCAGGCGCACAGTGTAAATATGGCTATCATATGGCAGTCTTCTGTACAGTGATGCAGGTCATACATTAAAAAATTTTCATTACATTTTTTTCTCTTAGACATTGGAGAGGTGCATTTAAATGTTATAGAGCTAAACATGTTAAATTGGTGACCTGTTATGTTATTATTATTGTCTTGTTGCTGCATTTAATTTGTCAGGGAAAACTAATCCTGAGTCAGTTAAAAGTCAGGGAATTCTGAAATTATGTAAGACTGTGGAAACCCTGTATAAAATAACTATGTATAATGATTCTCTAGAAAAGTCACATTATATTAATAGTATTATCTTCTATAAACATACCGTGACTAAAATTAAAGTTATTCATTTGGGACATTGACTTCTGTTGTGTGATTTATCTTAAGTTTATTTATATTTTTCCAAGCACAAAACAGTTTAAAGCAAAGTTTAGTTTGAAAAGAATGTGCAGGAAGGATTGAAAAGCATGTTAACACAGTAATGTAGGCCTGAGTTCATTATCTGACGCATGCATATACACACCAGGAACCTGGAAACTTAAAAAATCTGTTTCATTTATATATACACAAAAATGAATATTAGGAACTATATTTATCAAACATTATACTGTGCAAGTAAAAATGGTTTCTGGGCAAATGAAATGTGAAAGTTACTTGCCCAAAGTGCAAGTGGTAAAAATCCTTAACGTCAACCCCTGTGCTGGCAGTTAGGAAGCAGCTAGCACCAGAAAGCGCCAGTGTAGTTAGAATGGAGACCTCCTGACGTACCTAGTTGCTGCTAAAAGCTATACGGTCCCCAACAATGTTTTGCATGACAAATGGCAAAGCAAAAAACTCTTGAATAAAATATCTGCCTGCCACAGATCTTGCAGACATAGATAAGACAGCAGTCAGCTCTGATGCGGGGTGACCTAATTCTTAGCTAGTTTGATATGCACCCACTCTGACGCAGGCTCTCAGCCCCATATGTCATCAAACTATCTGCTAATGATAAAGAAAAATCATTTGTGACATCAATTAACTGTATATAATAAGGAGCCATCTGATATGAAGGGATAAAGATTAACCCTGCAGAGATGAAGTAAAGCTCAGCTCCACCAAGATAGGGTCGGAAAGCCTCATCAAGGGATTCCCCCTCCCACCATTTCATAAGCAATCATTGTCATTTTTTACACTTGTTGACTATTGTATAAAATTGGATGTGATGTATGATCATCGCCGTCTCGTTGCGGTGAGCTGAATGGAAAATGGGACCTTCTGCAGCGAGTCTCTAATAAGTTCAAAATAAAGAAGTCATTTGGGGATTTGATCCTCACATAAATTTCTCAAATTAAGCAGTTTCAATGAGACAAAGGTGGCTTTGTTTATTAACATTACATCAGAACCATTTTTTTTAAGGCTGAGGGCTACTTTATGGGTACTGAGTCATAGGACGGGCTACCAATACTGACCCATGAACTAGAGGAGTCGGCGTTCACCTGAACTTCATAGATAATAAACATATTTCTATTGTTTCTTTTCATTTTTTATTTGCTTTTAGATATTCTCATTATGAAATCCATATAAATCCTCAAATGTTCTAATTTATTGATGTGATAAAATGCTTCATAAATGCTTCAAAATAAGAGCTTCAGTAAAAAATAACATTTCAGATTTAGTCCACTGGTGAATTGTTTTGTTTTTAAAAAGATGCTGAGGGCACCCCATGTTGTCCTTGAGGGCCCCTTGATGCCCACGGGCACCACGTTGGTGACCCCTGTTTTAGGGCATTTGGAGCTGAGTGACAATGATGAAAAAAGGAAGAGCCCTGAATGATTAAACTTGGCTTTAAATCGAGGGTTTCTCAATGGGACAATGATTCCAAACACACAACAAAACCAGTAACCCAAAGTCACCTGTGAAACCTCGTCTTTTATCCTGAAAAAAAAAAAATAAATCAGATGTATCATTAAAGCTAGATTGCAACCTGATTTTATTAAATCACCTCTTTTCATATTTAACTCATAAACAGGTTTTTGCAGTATGAATGTGGAAATGATGGACTATTTCACCCACGTTTATTCCACATGTCAGTCTCGATTTTTGCCCCGATCAATACTTGTCCTCGTTTGACACCAAAGAGAGAGAGAGAGAGAGTAAGGCGAGCAGCACACGCAGCTCTGCAGCCGTCTCTGAGAGTGAGAGCGTGAGATGGAGCGTGGGAGGAGGTGCTCGTCATGCGTTGCAGTGGCAAGGTCTGCGGCAAAGCGAAAAGAAACTGAGAGGGGGGCCTACGCAATGTGAATACATCAAAAACACCACATTCAGAAGGGTGAGATAAACAAAGTGCTCTCACGGCTGCATGGTGTAAACTCCTGATGCTATCAAAGGTCACCCATCGGACCGGAGATCTTCGCTGTTGGGGCCTTTTGCTTTTCTTTAAAACACCCAGGAGCTGATTTAGTGATTCAGAAAAGGACCTAAAAATATAATCCTGGTTTTAAAGATGCCTTCAGAGCAGCTTGTTGCCTCAACTGGCTCTGTGTGAGTGTCTGCTTTGTCACGCAACGAGATGAACATGTTTTGAAGATAAGCTGGTTGTTTTTCTTTACTGTAAAAGCCTCCAGCTGTATTTTCCTGACCTGAGTGTATGAAAAACTAGCTTCAACCTTTCAAGCAACTACACCTCTCTCTGACTCCTGTTTACCTGGAAAAATGCTGAGCTTGCTCTACACACCCACAGTATTACCAAGAAAACAGTTGTTTCTTTACCCGTTCCTTTAAATTATTATTATCCATCATTCTGAAAAATTTTTCTTCTAGTCATTATAAATGCCCAGAGATGAGTCAGCGTGCTATTATTGTTCTGTTGTTGATTCCAGTAAGGACCTGACAGCATTGCAGCCTGAAAACACTGACCCAGCTTCCTCTGGGCTGGACTGTATTACAGGAATGATAAGGCTGCAGCATTTCCCCCCCTCCACCCCTGACCCCTGCCACCAACAGCAACAACTCCAGCACGCGCTGGTCTCCATGTCAACATCGGGCCTCTGAGTCGTTGCCCCGCGTGGGGGTGATGGGGGATGCAGATAAGGGTGCCTGTTGTGGCTCAGAATGATAAAAGGAAAACGGTCAGACGGGTTTCTTGTAAATAATCCTGGTGTTTTCAGCCCTTTTTGTTGAATAATAGAAAAAAGAAATATCTTCTCGATGTCTGACATGGCATTTTGAGGAAAAATACTCATATTTTCAATGGAAGAAACATCCAAAATATCCTACTTCTGGTGTGTTTTCTAAATTGCCATGTCTACATTTTCCATCATGTTTACAACCACAGTCTTTAAAGTGTGTAATAGGACTTTGTGTGGGGAAACAAAACAAGAACAACAACAAAAAAGGACCCACATGGCTTTCCAGTTTTTTTTTTTACAAATAATATTCTGGTTTCAGTCGGTTTTCTGTCATACCCTACAAAAAAGCATGTTCCTTTCAAGTCACCTAATCATTAAACAAAGTTATTTATTCATTATCACTGTGAATCCAGCAGTTCTCACAGTTTATTTAGAAGAAAAATAGAGAACAAAGAGGAATGTAAAGAAGACAAAGGAATCCCTTCTAAAGAAAACAAAAGGTAAGAAGTGAGAAAAATAGTATCCAGGCTGCTAAAGATTTGGATTTGCAACAAAAAGTGGTTCTGATTTTCATTTGAAGAAAAAAAAAAGTCATTTTACAGAGAAAATTCAACCAGATTGGTTAAAGTTTGCTATCTAAGGAAAACCAACAGTCATTGACTTTGCAGGATTTTTCTCCTCCTGGATGAGCATGTGGAGGCAGTAGACATTTTCTTGCATTGCATTGTTGACTCAGTCCCATCGGCAACCCCTCACATCTACTAGCTCCATAGGTGGCTCTGTCAAGGAAAGAAACAGTTTAAAAAAAAGTTCTGAGCCAGTTTTCATTTTACAAGGAATGTGAGACATCATATATAGTTAGTCCCCCCCCCCAAAAAAACGAGCTCTTTAGCTATGTCTAGGAAAGTAACAGGACTAAGCACAGAGAGAAAGGCCCAACCCTTTCATCTATAATTGAAGGTATTGATGACAGCAGCCCAGATATTTCCATCAAGGCCAAAAGAAGCAACTATGAAGAGAAAAATGAGAGAAAACATAAAGTTGGAGGTTGAACTAACAACTATACAGACTTAAAGAACAGAGATAAATTAAAGCAGAAAGATGAAGTATTCCCTATGTCCTCCAGCAGTCTGCGCCTATAGTAGCATAATTATAGAGATAGCTCAGGGTAACCTGAATCACCTGAATGCTTTAAAAGTAGAAAGTATGTGTGCCTCATGGACTTACCGGTATTTTGTTCCAAAGGAGAAGAGCCTGATAACTAAAAAGTCTTCCATTAGAATATATTAATGCTTCTGGTTGGAATAGGAAAGCTGCAAACACAAGGGGCATGAATTCTTATTGAAAGCAGAATTAAATAGAAAGGATGGAGGACTCACAACTATATCTGTTTTATACTCTGATAGGACAGTTCTCTCTAACCAATGGTAATAATATAAGCAATTAAATGAAACAATTTTAAAAACTGCAGCAGGTTATGAAGAGATGTTTGACTCACATCCATGATTTTGTCATTATCTATAGAGTTTTAAGTTAATGTTTCATATTTCTATCTGTTTTTGAGTTCACAAAATGCTGTTATAAACTCTTTTCTGTTCTGTTTTCCCGGTTTGCACTCAGAACTTTCCCTCAGTGAATCAGCTTCCTGCTCTACTTCAGTCGTAAGTCACTCAACTCTGTAGCATTTCAACCATGGGTGTTTCTAGACAGGGGGCAACAGGGGCCAGTGCCCTTGTAGACCTTGCCCTGGCTCCCATTGTGGTCCCTCTACTAAACCCATAATAGTAAATCAATTTCGTATAATGACGTGAGCTGGCACAGGAACTGTAACTTATTGGTCCCTTGGATGAATTGCATGTTTTACCTTTACAATAGACAAATCACACATTTTTTTTTAAATCTACATAGCTTTACTTTATCAATGATTTTAAAATTAAGGCTTTTCTGTTGTGGTGATACAGGATCACTGTTTCCTTCTGCTCAGTCCGGTCTTGTTTTGTTTTTTGTCTGTTTTATTTTATTCGTTGGCCCGACTCTGACCTCCATGGTAAACTTCTAGAACTGTCACTGATTTCAACACAAACATGGCTCCATTTACTAAAGGCCATCATACACTGTATGATCTTTTTAATCGTTGTACTCGGCTACAGCCCAAACAATAGGCGAAACCGCTGGGTTTAAAAGCTCACAGCACATGATTTATGTCGTGAAAACCAAAAACCACACATCAGACTCAGCGGCAAGAGATGACGCCGGTCAGACTCGTCAATTTTGAAGAAGAAGAAGAAGAATTCCCTTGTTTACACATGCGGAGGGTGCGAGGTTCGGGGACATTGGCTCGTAGACGCTCGTAGTCCAACAGGAGGATTTGCCCATGAACACCTAACGAGGGTCGACTGAATTTGAAACATGTTTGATTTTCTTCCAACCTGACGCTTCCTGGTCGCCCCTCGGTACACCCTGGTATACTACATGACACAAGACGCACGGTGAGGCTTAAACTCGGCCGGATTTAATGACTGGAGAATCAGCTCGAAAAGTGCAAAAACGGCAGATCCTGTAATAAAATAGATTTTTTTTATTGCATTTTTTATTGGGCTCTTGTTTCTAAATGAGGCATTACAACACAGTCTGGACTTATTTAGTATTTGGGTTAAAGGCCACCATCCGGCTTTTCTGGTAGTTCAGCGATATTGACACCAGATTGTGCAAGATCTGTTTAGCTCAGCTGACCGCACCTACTGCTGAGGTTCTATTTAGGCTTAAAAGCATAATCCAGGTCCAGAAAGTAAAAGACCTGTACAGAGATCAGTTCCAACCTCTTCCATTTCCAGCTCCACAATGCAGACTAATCACCTGAGGGACTAATCACCTAGTTAAGTGAACAGGATGAAGGAAAAGCAGGAATTTAACTTTCCTGATCAAGATTATCCACCTCTGTTAAAGCACTATCAGAACAGACGTTTGGAGTATACGGCTTTACTTTATCATGATCAACTGGATTTTGGTCTTTTGGGTACAGTAGGCATAAAAAATGACTGTGTACGTTTAACACTGATCCATATCCACCAGAAAGAAGTACATAATATGTTTATATTCTTAAAGTTAAATAACTGATATAGAAATATAAAATATAATGGACATTCTTTGGACAATCCAGTAGTTTCCATAGTCACCAGGTAGCAGCACACAATAATGTGGCTATGTCAGTTAGCCACGGTGGACTCCTCAAAATTAAAACTGTCTTACTCAGTGATGAATGACCAATCACAAACAGGCAGCGATTTACGCTTTTATAATCCTTTTCTCGCTTTTTCTCACAGTAGCTTCGCCTCGTCTGTTCCTGTTTGGCTGTGGCACCTTCCTAGAGAGAATTATCAGCTGTGCTGCTACCATCGACACCCTTGTTTATAGATGTTGGAGATCGGCCTGTTTTTTCAGTGTAGTCCTGTTTCTCTGATTGTGAATCGCTGGATGTGCTCTCTTCATCCTATGAAATGGGAGCTGGCTCGGAGCTCGTCTGCCTGGCTGTGTGTTTCCTGGACGGGGCCGCCTTTTACAGCTGCTTTTTGTGTCTCTGCTTCTGTCTCCTTGATCCCCCGTCGGTCTCGGCAGATGTCCCCTCTCACTGAGCCTGGTTTTGCTGGAGGTTTCTTCCTGTTAAAAGGGAGTTTTTCCTCTCCACTGTCACTACAAGCATGCTTAGTGTGAGGGAGTCAATGAGTCGATGCAATCAGCTGGTTTTCCTTAGATAGAAAACTTTGAATCAATTTGACTGGACGCTCTGGTGAACTGTAAAGTGACTTAAGATGACTTGTGTTGTGAATTGGCGCTATAGAAATAAACTGAATTGAATGGAATTGAATAAATGCAAACAGAAAAGAAAATTTTAATATGGGTACAATTATTTGGGGAGATTTATGTCCAAAGTGTGTCTGTGTGTGTGCAAGATTTTTTTAAAATCTATACTTTTTTCAGAAACTCTGCTGATCTCAACAACATTTATACATCAGTTTAAAAGGGATTCCAGAAACAGAAAACGTAACATTTGGCGTTTGATCAGTTTAATAAGACTTTAACCGGAACAGAGTAATTTAGTCTGATAAGATTGAAATGTTGTTGTTTTGTTTTTGTTTTGTGCATGTGTGCATATGTACATGTGTGTGTATGTGTGTGGTTAAACCTTTTACGTGAGGACTGTCATGAGACAAAGGATAAACATCTGAAAGCACACTTCATACCTGTTGTTAAGTATGGCAGAGGACCTGTGATGCTGAGGGCCTTTTTCTCTGATAAGTCCTTGGGAACCCTGTGAGAAAGCAAGTCACCATGAAATACTACTATAGATAAAAATCCGTCGACTTTAGTATATCATCGCCTATGAATAAACAGGACAACGATCCAATTTATTATTATACCTTTTAATTTTATTTTGCTGGTACTGTATTTAAAACATATCAATAAATTGATTTCTTGTTTTCTTTTCTGTCTGATGAATCTGTGCGGAAGGTTCTTTATATTAGGAGAGAGAAGAAGGAAATACTTCTGGTCAAAAACGCAGGACTGACTTCCAAAAAAAAAAAACATTTACAGAGTAAAATCAAAAGATAGAGAATAATCAAGTACAATCTATGAAGAGTGTGGAAAGTCAGGTCTGCTGACATGTTCCTGCTGGCACAGTGTTTTGCTTGTCAGAGGGTAACATGACCGCCGAGCCTACGTGCAGCTCAGGCTGCCACCAAGATGCCATGCCTTGCCTCTACTCAACCATGTCTCAATAATATCCTAGCAACAACAGGTCAGCTCTGCTGTCTCTGTTTACGTCTTCCTCACTTTTTTTCCCCCCTGATGTGTTGACCGGTTTACCCGAGAAAGTTCAAAGAGTGATTTTATTTTTTTTTTTTATCTGTTTCATTTGGCCAAATGAGCCCCCCAGAGATACCAGTTGGGGAATTTAACGTTTTAACATCATAAAGTGCTAACGTAAGATCTTGGTTTACTTTGATGTGAAATTCACAAGGGAGCCATTAAGCCAGCATGTGTTATCAGTTCTTAGACTATCTGTTTTAAAGACCAGCTTTTGATGTTGGGCACATGGGGCGCAAAGTATTGTCAGGCAGATTTTTATGGTTTCAGGAGGTCTGGAAATCTTTTGTTTTCTCCTATTTCTTTTTTTTTTTTCAACCTTAACTTTTAATCCAATTTAACTATAATGGGAAAAATACTATCCAGGTGTGAAGCTTGGCTTTGACACAGTGGGGTATTTTTATGTGTAATACATGTATAAACTTAAACTTTTCCACATTTTGTCAGTATTTTCAATGTTTCAATCATATTTTTTTTTTGTTGTCAGAAAATTGAAACCTGGTTTTTGTGATCAGAGCACCATAGGTTTGCTGTACCGTCGGTGTTGAGCCACATACTGCAAAATATCTCTCTTTAAAAATTGGTTTCTTTTGTCACTTTTCTATAAAGGTCGGACATGTAGAGCACATTATGCAAATATTCATAGATTCTCCCACATGAACTGCAGACTACAGTCAACTTTTCTTCAAATAATGTTTGCCTGGCCATACACTTCTAAGGCCTTCACAGATTAGTTTATACTCCTATTAAATTGTTGATGCTGTATTTATAATTCAGTTTTTTTTAAAGGCTGAATCATAAATATAATTTTGTTTTTTTAACATTGTTTTGTTTTTTGTCTGCACCAACAACACCAAGTCAAATTCCTTGTAAGTGCAAACCTACTTGGCAATAAACTTGATTCTGATTCTGATTCTGATTCTGATAAGTTTTAATGGCTTTAGAATATAACATCACATGTGTATTTTTTTTAAGAAATACATCAACTTTAATTAATACTTGTACTTTCATTTAAATCATCTTCGGTCCATAAAGTGGGCTGTTTTAGCTAAGAAACTTTTTTATTAATATTATTCCATGTTACAACAGCGACACCATGTGGCCATACTGAAAAGAAAGGAAAAAAGTTAAAAAAACAAAACCACTGGACATTTTTTTCCTCCAAGTTTGAAGACGTTTTGCTCCCCATCTAGAAAGCTTTATAGAGGCTTTATAGAATCACCCAACAAAAGCCTTGTTATGGCTTAGAAAACATGCAACTGGTTTTATTATTTTATTCTCCAGGTGCACAGTGTTTATATTGTTAAAATATTTTACATTACAGTATTTTATTGTTTATCTTTTAACTCTTCACTATTATATTATTCTTATATATTTTTTAAGGTCCACATTTGTGTGACCAACTTTTCTATAATCTTTATGCTGCTGTAAAAACTAGTATTTGCCCATTGTGGGACCATAAAGGGATTTTCTATTTTATTCTATTCTATTCTAAATTGAACTTGGTTCAATTTGCATGTCAGAATTGTGAGATTAAAGTCAGAATTCTGAGAAAAAAAGTCAGAATTGTGGGATTAAAGTCAGAATTCTGAGAAAAAAAGTCAGAATTGTGAGATGAAAGTCAGAATCCTGAGAAAAAAGTCAGAATTGTGGAATTAAA